GCAAAAGTTGGTGAAACTCCACGAGCAGCTCCAGCTTCACAAAAAGATGATGACAGAAGTTTGAAGCCTGACTCGTCACAAGGCGAGCTACACATTTGATGCTTCAGTAGCATGCCAGATACATGAGCCAATGTGGCTTGATCTGCGTGAAGAAGAGCCAAATTGATGATTGTCTGAAATGTTGTTGGAAGACAAGCCATAAGAACTGAGACACATTCTCTTTTTACTTGTCTCGCGTGTCGACATAGCGCTGGACGTAGTGAATCCAACGACAGAACAGCAGCATGAAGTAAACGAGGTGTAGCTTCAGTCCAGTCCACGTCAGAAGAGGCACGAATGATGTCACAAATTAGAAGAAGCGCTACCTGACTCCTATATAAACTGCTTCTCACCACCTGCTCACAATGATGTATATAGCACGTACCTGGTAAAAAATTGCACAGGCTGAGTAGTGGGCGGTAAATGTGTACAGAGTCTTGAGTAATATCCTCCATAAGCAGGCATAGGGAGAAGACGAACACCTTCCTTGCTAGCATCCTCAGAAGCACTGACAAAGCGGTCACCAATTGGTGATTCCAGCATTGGCGATGCCATTCCAGCTACAGAATCCTGTAAAAAGGGTATTCAAAGTAACGAGCGTAAAGAGCACCTTTTCGTTGAAGAGGCGAGTAATTACTGTAAAGCGAACAACTCACTTTCTTTTCAGTCGCTTCATCTTTCCATTTATAGTATGGAGGAATATCGGATCTTTCCAAAATAAGACGAGAGCTATCCGAGGAAGTAGATAGCTGCTCTAATAGAAGTGCAGCAATGCGATTTCCAACCACGCCCGCTAGTATTACGCTAACACGCTTTGCCTGCAAAAAGCTTCATATGCAGTTGTAATAAACTAAATTTAATAGGTATAGCGACAAAGGAAAGAAAAAAGGGCAGAAGTCTATATGTTTGCACATTCCGCTACTGTTATGCAGCAAGACTCTACTCATTTGATTAAATAACTCTTTCTACATGTTGTTAATAACATATGAAATGTAGTCTTTGTTCATTGTGCTATTTCAGAAACATGTAATCCCTCAATGGAATGAAGACGTCCTCATAACCACCTACAATTAAACCACTATTTGAAAACAACAAGCGTGAGACAGCGAAGGATAAGCAAAGGAAAAAGATGCTCAAGATAGAACAAGTGATGCACAGCTCCAATAAGAATACATTTGCTACTACATTACTTGGCAAAGGCAGATAGAGTGAAAAAATGCAAGCAGCGTCAGCGGCCAAAAGTGCAGATAGTTCGAGTACTTTGAGGTAGAGCTTTTTTCTTCCAGAAGTAAAAGAAAATAAAAGTCTGATCTGGAAAAAAACGACTTTTGAAACAAAAATTTGCAATACTTCACTTATTTGCATGTCCTAAAGCATCAAAATTCAATAGCAAAGGGCTGTCCCTATGTTTTAATATTACGGGTTGTTCATAGTATAGAAAGGAAAAGAACCGACATGTACAGGATTTTTTCATTATCGAAATTTCGTATAGTATAGAGTGATAATACATATGCTTTATCATTCTTTCCACAAAGTAAAAAAAAACAGAAATAACTCACGTATGGTAGAAGAGCTTCATGAGACAGTACGGTGACAACATAAATATAATTTAGAATAACC